CAGGAAATACAGTTTTGCTCACTTTGGGCTGGTTTTCCCAGCTGTGCCAAATCCCATCATGTTGCCACACTCCAGCTGCTCATTGAGAGAGTAAAGAGAAGGAAAGAAGGTGGTGATGCTGTACAAACAGTGTTCAGCAACAGTAGGTCACCAGTATGTTTTCTGTGCTGTTTTGGTTCCAGATCTGAAACATAGCCTGATACAGACTGTTAGAAAGCAAGATCCACCCCAGTCCAGTGTAGTACAAGAATTACATTATTTTTTGTTTTATTTAACACTCTTGAGTGGCAGAGAAGTTTTCAACCATGTGTTTTTAAAATTTTCCCAGAATTTTAATGCCTCAGTGAGAGTGCCATTTGCATCTTTGATTCACCTTTGCTCCCTTTGGCTTTGCCATACACAGGCAGACCACTTCTGTCAATAGAGAAACTCACTCTGAGAGTTTGCTGACCCCAGGAGTTCTCAGGCACCTGAACTTTCAAGGAATTTCAGAAGAAGATGACAACAATCACCTGGGGAAGGCAGAGCCTATTTTGAGGGAAGAAAACAGCAGCACCCTTCTGGAAGCATTTTACCATGTCATAAGTCAAAGTTGACTGTGTTGAACACGGGAATCTGTCAGTACGAGTAAAGGATGACACCAGATGTAAAAGGATATATTATAAATGATACATGAGATATCTGTCGTGTTGATGTTAAAATTAGAGCTGGTCTTTAATATTTCATAGAGGACAAAGCCATGTATGCTTTTGTAACTGAGTTCCTGCCACTGCACGATAGACAGTGACTGCTTTCTTACATCCCTCATGGAGACATAAGGTGGCATGTAATCATTTTCATAGGTGTTCTTGTCACTCAAGACAGCACAAAGTTTTAAGCCTATTTTTGCCTTCTCTCCTCATTTTTATGAGCTACATAAAGAGAACTGAGAAATTTCTCCACTTCTCAAGAAGTTTTCTATACCAGTTTTAATTAGAACATTTGTGTTAGTGCCAGACAGTCAGAAAAAAGTTCAAGGCCAAAACCACACACTCAACAAGATCAACTAAGAATGTTTACTAAATCCTGCAGACCATCTGCACAAATCTTGTGAAAGCTGGCTTCCTAAATCTTGAGCTATTGAATATCAGGGTTGATTTAACTAGAGATATTAGTGGCCAGGTACAATGGCCACTACATAAAGCCCTTCCCTCAAAAGAAGTGTGAATCAGCTTGTCCCTATTAATTGTACACAGGTAAAACTACAACTCAGTTCTGACAGGCTAAATGTGAGAGGTGAACCATTAGCATAAACAATGCATAAAGCAGCAACAAGAAGGTTGTGAGAGTCACAGTTTAGTAGATCTGACTACCTGCGAGGAAGGAAAAAGAAAAAAAGAGGAAAGAGGATATGTTACCTTCTTCATCTTTTTCATGGAGAACATTGCAGTTCTGTCCCACAAAAATTTTTCAGTGGGAAGCTTTTTTCAACCTGATCTCATTGCTTCTTAGAATTAAAAAAAATGTTAGTGTTGCCAAAAATGTTATTTTTAGCACACTGTGAATATTAAATGATCAATGGTTGATGTGATTTTTTAAATAAAATCTACTCTACCTGGCTGCTCCCAGGCTTTCCTGAGTTGAAGAAAGCCTGAGTGTGTTGTGCAGTGTTCAATGTCATCACAAAAAGAAGCTACAGTTTGATCAAAATAAATAGTTCCTAAGAACAAGTTAGTTGTGTAATTTGAGCTTTTTAGTGTCGATTGTAGCTGGAAACTGATGTCAACAAATAAAATTCCTTTCTAATGTAGTGCTGGTCAACTTTTCACAGCATAAGGCAGATGTTGTCTTGGCAGATTATTGATTCACACCGTGATGCACAGATGCATCCAACACAAATATAATTCAGTCACAAATAAATGCCTGGTAAATAGATGAAATTGAATCCTAAAATATTTTGTTCTTTTAGTAGACCGGCTTTGTTTCTTGACCAGTTTGCACATGTGATTCATGTGTTTCTTATTACTAGATAAAGGACTGAAATGGTTGCATGTAAAACCACATTTGTTCTGGAAAATAGAGCTCTTGGCATAACATGATGTGCCCAAAGTTTAAGTCTTTCAACATGAAGCCCATCTGTTCTAGATAACATAGGACTGAGTGGTGACTAAGATGTTTTTGCACCTTTGAAATCTCTTGGCCAATTCTGAATTGTTTTTGCCAAGAAAGCTGTAGTTTAAAATCTTAAAAGCTTTAAAATCAAATATATTTTAAAGTAAACTTAAAGTAAATTATAAGTTTTCAGTTAAAAAAATAAAAAGAAATTGCTTTCCTTTTTTAACTATCTTAGGCATTAAACATTGTAATTTCTTGACATAAATAAGGGGATGAAAGTGAACTTTATGAAAATTACATTTTTTTTTAAAACCCAAGCTTTTAGCTCTAGCATATTTTTAGCAGTAACAATGTAACCTGCCTCATTTTATAGGTAGAATTTTTTTAAATGAGCCTTTGCTAATAAAACATTTGCTAATTTTGATGGAACAGAGTCACAGACAAGCCCATTTTAAATAGGAGATTAATCCTTGTTTTTCTTTTTAATTTTCTGTAGTATGACAAGCCAGTTTAATCACAAATTCAATAGTGTGTGCCAAGATTTTTATTGCAAAGCTGTAAATGAGCTTCTTTGTATATCTCCTTGTACTTTCTCTTTTCAAAGGCTCATTGCAAAAAGATTTAATGCTACTAACGATAAATACAAATAAACCTCAAATGTCAACCAGGGACCTCCCTGGTGTCTCTTTCTCTTGCTTCTAATTAGGGGGCATAAGAAATTTGAGCACAGGGATTTAAAAGCAAACAGAGAAACCACTGGAGAGCAGAGAGCAGACACTGGCACTTTCACTACAAGCTTGCACTGATAGATATTCCTGCAATAACTGTGCAACACTAAACCACCACTGCTCTTCTGCTGCTGCAGAGCAGTGAGTGGCAGCTGTGCTGCACCCCTGGGGCTGCCGAGGGTGCACAGAGTCTAATTAAAAAACCTGTTGGCACCCCTAGCAGGTTACCTGAAAGAGTCAAAGGGAGATAAGCAACACCCAGTGAGCAGCCAGGTAACCTGACTTGGTCCGTCATCAGGCAGATGTCTGCAGCAGTGACTGATGGTGGCATTCCAGCATGCTGGAGATGCCATGTCACCCATAATGGGGTCAGACTGTCCTCACCACAGTCTGGAGACCCTGGTTAAAAAATACCAGGCTCGCTTTCCTCACCCAACTAAGGCTGCCCTTGGGCACTACAGACAATCATTCAAGCCATGCTTTTGCCAGCTGGATGACAGAGATCATTAGCACAACAAAAAACAGAATACAGGAACTGTCACATCGGATCAGACCAGTGTTTCACTAAGTCCTGCATCACAGCCCTGCCCACAGCCCATTCCACAGGCTTCAGAGGAAGGTGAGAGAAACCACACTGTTGGAATGCTGTGATGTAGGGCTTCCAGAAGGAAAATATGGCTGGTATGTCAACATGTCAACTCCCTCTCTCAACCTGAAAAATAAGGAATGCAGCTCTAGTGTTTAGGGTCACAGCTGCTGAAGCAGAAGGCAGGAAAGGAAGGAGTTTAGACACTACCTCGCCTACCCATCACAGGTGCTTAAATTAGGCATTGTGAATGTCCTTCCTTGGTCCCACCATCTATTTTCTCTGCTTGTTGCATGTGATCAGTGATATTTTTCTTCCTCAGAGGAGTGAGATAAGAATAAAATTCTAAAAGATGTTCAAGTTTGCAAACATTTTTACCATTAGGAAAAATAAAGAAAATAAATACCAGAGACAGGAATATGTACCAGGAGATCTCAAAGCACTTCACATAAGATATTGAGAGGCATTTTCTCCATGTCATAAAGAAAGTTAACATTTCTTCCTGGATGCATAGTAAAACTCTTGTTAACTCTAAATGTTCCCCCTTCCCTATAAACATAGAATTTGTTTTGAAATTCCATCACTTATTTAGTCCTGGAGACACATAGAATCACAAGTGGTTGGCTTGGGGGCCCATTATGTAGTTTGTGTTCTGTGTTTCTCCACTGTAACTCTTGCTGGTTCCAGTTGTATGAATTACAACAACATCAGTTTTCTCATGAGCCCAAATACAGCAATAAACATTCATAGCACCATGTTCTAAGGCCAAGATTTTAAAACTAGTGGGAATCCAAATGCCTGATTTCAGGTGTTTAAACAACTGGTTTCCTAAGCAGACAGAATTTGTGCCAATTGATTGACCCTCCTTCAGGGGCTGAAAGTTGGATATTCAGCAAGGGATCCATCCAAAGTTATGGGTGAGCTTGAAAGACTTGACTTCCCAGATTGTATCTTTCGGGGGCACCAGTGGATAGCAGGCCAAAAAAGCTGCTTTTCATAGTAGATAGAAAGAACAAACTGAAATTCAGAAGGAAACAGCTCCTTTAACTCAAACTACATGTTACATACTACATATGTAAATCTCTTAGTTCAGCTTAAAGTTTGGTCCAATCCAGAGCAAACACAAGCTATCACTTAACGCTAATTGGAATCAGCATGATCTTTTCAGTATTCATGTCCCCAGACAGGAAGATGCTAATGAAAACAAGCTTTGAAATCAGCATTTAGCATGATTTCTGACTAGCAGAAGTGCAATTTTGCTGTTCATCCCAGCATTAACAGTGCAAACAAAAGCCATGCATTATGCCAAAGCCTTAAATAAGAGAGGAAAAAAGCAACACACCAAATGCAAACCAAACAGACCTCTCCAGAACACACTAAGTTACTAACAGTAAGAATTTTTAAGCAATCTGGTTTTCACCCCGCTTGTCAGCAGAGATTTAAAGCAGTGGCACAAGATGACTCCCAGCATTAACCTTTCTGCTGCTTCTCCCTGCAAGACCCTTGCAGAGTTGCTACCTGCACTCCAGCCTTGCTCAATCCAGCAAAGTCACACAGCAATGTATTCATGTTAATTTGCAGATATCCCTCACCTGGCTCTGAACAGCTACACACAGGGGAGACCCCACAGACCCCAGCCCTTGCTGGGAAGTGGCTCAGGGACCCTCCTTGATGTGGGACACCCCCCTTGATGTGGAACAACCCCTAGTACCTCATGAAGGTATGTTATGATGTCAGCAGGAAGCCAGCACAGAGGGAAGAGAGGAGATGGGTTTCCCCTTTAGCCTGGGATGTTTAGGAGGGAAGGAAGGAGGGAGGTATAGGGGGTGAACATTAAACCCTGACCATTTACCACACCTGGCCAGAGTGGAATGGGTTGTGAAATTGAACCTAGAATTCTGGAGAATTCGGGAATGGGATGCTGGATCCTGTCACCCATGGGGATGTCTCAACACTTGTGGGACCTATAGGGATGTTGCCATGGCTGTGGGACCCACAGGAGTGCCAGAGTAAGTGAGGACCCACAGGTGATGTCACAATGGGTATGGGACCCACAACGGATGTCGCGATAGATGTGAGACCCTTGGGGACCTCACAACACATGAGGGACTCTATGGGGTCGTTGCAATGGGTGTGAAACACAGGCACAATTCCTTAGAATCACTGCCTCCTCCTCAGCCCCAAACCAGTGTCTCCGGGGGGTGAACCCAAATCTGTCTGGGTTTTTTTCCAAAAACTAATGAGAAAAGTCCCAACTGAGAATTCTGGAGAAGTCTGAGTCCTGCTCCTGGCCAAAAAAAGGCTTTAAAAAGCTTAAAACCACCCATCTTGAACTTGGACAAATGACATTTCTTAAAATAAAAGCAAATAAAATAGGTTTTTCTTTTAAAAAAGATCAAAACAAACCAACCAACCAAACAAACAAACAAAAAAACCCACATCCCCCCACCCTAAAAAAAAAGAAAAAAAAAAAGGAGAGTTATTAAGATAATACTTTTAAAACTCTAGGTAAATACAGAAGGACTTTTCCTTAAAGTGAAGAGAATAAAAGGAGGTTTTTCCTTAAAAAACACCCATAAAATACAGATATTTTTAAAGGGTTTTTTTCCTTCCCAAAAAATAGAATTCCAGTGCATAAGGGCTTTTCTCCTCTCTCCCCCTATCCTGGAAAAAAAGCCAAAATACATAAGAAAGATTTATTTTTTAGTCTCAAAATAATAAACAAATAATTAACTTTAAAAGGACTTTTTCATTTAGGAAAATTAAATCAGGGGATGGGAGTTCCCCTGAAAAAAGGCAGGAAATGAGGAGAAATGAGAAAATAAGGGAGAATTTCTTGAGAGCCCTAACATGCAGGGATTGAGGGTTTTTTCTTCTCTCCGCAGTAAACGCCATGAAATAACCCCAAAACTAAGGGAAGTCATGGAGGGTTTGTTTTTTGGTGGTTTGTTTTTTTTGGCAGGGGGGAGGTTGTTGCTCAGCAGAGAAGAAACCCAGAATCCCCCATCCTGAAATTCCTGAAATTTACTATTTTGGGAGTAAAAAAAACCCCTGTGAAGTGATGAGGGATCCAGAAGTGTCTCCAGAACCCCAAAATTATTCATAAAGAGGCTTGTCTGTGCTTAAGAAAAAAAAAAGAAAGGAAGAATCTGGAGGAGCCAAAAATCCACAACCCGTGAACTCAAATACCCCTTTCTAAAAAATCCTGGGAGAGCTCAGAGAGCTTGGGTGGGCGGGAAGTTGGCAAATTCCCTATTTCCGTGCTTTTTTGATAAAAGAAGGAGCTGGATGAGGTAAACCCCAGCATTTTTAGGTGTTGGAGCTCATTTTCAGGCCCCGGTTCTTCTATTCATCGGAATCCAGGTGAGGGAACTTTTATTCTGATGATGATTTCAGTCATTCCCTGGAATCCTCTCTCTTTAAATTCCTTATATTTCATGGATTAAGAAAGCTTTCTCTCTTTAAATTACTTAAAAATGCATGAAAAAGGATAAAAACATCCTGATTTTATGCATTAAAAAAAGGGCAAACCATCATGTATTTGTGCACAAAAATGGCAAAAATCCTCAATTTGTGCACACAAAGGGCAAACACTTAAGATTCAATTAAATAAAAATTTATTAAAAATCAAAATGAATAGAAAATACATAAAAATCAACTTAAATTAAAAAGTCAAATAAATAGTCAATTAAATTAGAACTAAAAATTTAAAATTAAATGAAATAAAATTAAATTGAAAACTTCAATTAAAGTTCAATTATATTAAATTAAAAAAAATTAAATTAAGAAACCACCAAAATTAAATTACATGAATACTAGAAAATAAATTAAAGATAATAAAATAAAAATACCAACTTTCCAAATACTTCACTTAGTTAAAGAAGTGTTTAGAATAACACATTCCCCCTGCCTCCCACAAAACATTCCTGGGAAAAGAGCCTGGATGGTGTTTCAAAGCGGGATTTTTTGCCTCCAGACCCTCATTCTTGCTTCGTTTTGCCTCCAGACCCTCATCACTTTCTGGGACTTTTTTGGGGGGATTGTGGGTTGGGGATTTTTTGTTGGTTTATCTTTTTTAAATTTTCCCTGATTTTCACATTTTTTTAGGGTCGAGGATGTTACCCTCTGGTGTTTTCCTCCTCCTGATTTTGGGTAAATTCTGAAAAATAGTTATAATTTTCATCCCTGTTGGGGAATGATGGATTGACTCATTTCTCCCCACTCCCTTCCCCCCTTTTCTTCTCCAGGATCCGTTGTGGACACCAACACCTCATCTGAAAAAGGTGAATTTGGCAGGTTTTGCCTTAAAAACCACTAAAACAAGCTTTCTCTAACCCCCATTATACCATTTTCCCATTATTTCTCCCCAAATCTGTATGTTCCTTATGTAATCTCCATGGGGTAATTCCCTAACACCCCAGTTTCACCTTGATCACATCGTAGCAGACAAACCCATTTTTAGGTATTCAAGAACACAGAAACCCCAAATTTGGCATGTTTCACTTCAGTATCCATATAGTTAGGTGTTTTTTGAGGGGAGAGTTCCCAAATCCTGATTTTGCCACAGGGTCCCTGCTCTATCCCTACGGACCAGACCAGGGGGACCAGACGAATCCCAAACATGATGATGGGACATCTGAGAGGATCGCCCTCTTCACTCCCTTCACCTTCTATGGCAAAACCCATGAAGCACTCTTTGTAGGTCACTGAAAATTCAAGATTTTGGGGAATTTCCTCCATTTTTCCCAATTTTCCCTCTGTTTCTGTTTAATTTTTCACTTGTCTGTGTCCCTACCCCCAAACTCCCTTCTCCAAATTCAACCCCATTTGAGTTCATAGAGGAGTTTGTTTTGGGGCATTGAAAAGTCTTCAGGTGGGTCTTGAGGGGATTGGGGAATACTGGAGGGTTTGGAGGGGTTTGGAGGGTCCTGTGGCTCGTGGGTGTTGGGCGGGTGGTCCTTGGTGGTCCTGTGGGTGATGGGTGGTAAGAGGTCTTGTGGGTAGTAGGTCTTGGGGTGTTGGTGAGTGTTGTAGAGTCCCATGAGTAGCAGGTTTGGGGAGGGTCCCAGAGGGGTGGGTCTCGATGGGGTTGGGGAGTGTTGGGTGCTTTAGTGTTTGGTGGATTTTGGGGGGTTCTAGGGGCATTTGGGGGTCCTGTGAGAGAGCATTTCTATGGCTGGTGGGTCTTGGGGGGGAGGCCTGTGGGTGGTGGGCCTTAGGGGGTTGGTAGGTGTTGGGAAGTCCTGTGGGTGGTGAGTCTTGGGGGCCTTGTATAGTCCATGTCCACACCCCAAGTCAAGATGATGCACCACCAACCCCTGTCCCCATCCCTTCCCGGTGTCACCTGCAGGTGAACAACAATGGGGTGATCTCCTTTGATGAACCTGTCAGAGAATACACCCCCGATCCCTTCCCACTGGTGGATGGGCGCTCCTTCGTGGCCCCTTACTGGGCAGATGTCGACAACGTGCTGGGTGGGGATATCTTCTACCGTCAGACCACCAATGAGGTGCTGCTGGGGGACATCAGCCGGGACATCAACCAGTACTTCCCCGAAACCCTCTTCACTGCCACCTGGGCCTTTGTGGCCACCTGGGACCACGTGGCCTACTACGGCTCCACCTCCACAAAGGTGAGTCTGTGGCTGGGGCATGGAAGTCACTCATTGACTCTTGTGACTCACTTGGTGGCCTTGGTGACCAACCTATCTTTGGTATCCATGACCCACCCTTTACTTCCACAGCCAATCCTTACCTCTATGACCAGTCCTTGACCTCTGTGACCTTTTCCATAGGGCAACACCTTCCAGGCTGTCCTGACTACTGACTCCAAGACATTCTTCATCATCCTAAACTACTGGGACATCCAGTGGACCACAGGAGCGGCGAGTGACGGGGATGCTGAAACGGGGCTCGGAGGGATTGCAGCACATGTAGGTGGGGAGGGGGGGAGGAAGAGGAAAACGTTGTCCCACTCCATCTTCTGGGTATGATGATGAAGGTTAGGGATGGGCCTATCCCATCTTTTGAAGATGATGATGACAATGATGATGATGATGATGATGATGATGATGATGATGATGATGATGATGATGGTGATGATGAAGACTAGGGATTGGGCCAAAATATTTTTAAGGGGAAGTCTAGGATGTCCTGTCCCATCTTCTGGAGATGATGATGAAGGTCAGAGGTTGGCCCATCCTATCTTCTGGGGAGGAGGATGATGAAGGTCAGAGGTTGGTCCAGTCCATTGTCCAGAGATAGTTATGATGAATGTCAGAGATTGGCCCACAGTGATTTGGGGGCAGATTGAGGTTGTCCCACCCATCTTCTGAAGAGGCTCATCATGATGGTGAAGGTCATGGATTTGGTTCATAACATTTTTGAGGGCCACCAACAGTCAGTGCTCACCTCCTAACATAATTTTGGGGTCCCAACACCCCCTTGGGTGGGGTCAGTCCCCACAAATTCCCCCCAAATTTTCCAGGCGGGATTCAACAGCGGTGATGACACCAACTTCTACAACATTCCCGGATCCCAAACAGATGCCATCATCAACATCACTGCCACCTCCAATGTCAATGTCCCAGGGCGCTGGGCCTTCCGGGTGGACAACTTCCAGTTGATGGGAGTGGACCCTCCCAAGATGAACGAGGACAGTGACTGCTGGTTGTAAGTTGGAATTTTGGGGAGGAAAATTGGGAATTTCAAGGAAAAGTGGGAACTTGGGGGGATAATTTGGGAGTTAGAGAGAAAAAGTGGGGATTTTGGGGGATAATTTGTGATTTTGGGAGGAAAATTGGGGATTTTGGGAAAAGATGGTGAATTTGTTCAGGGAAATTG